CTTTAACAATACATTTCTTCCTCTGTTGGACCTAATCAAGAATTTTATTTTGCAATACATATTTATAAACAGTTGGTAAATAGTTTCACTTCTCCTTTTTTTTTATTTTATTTTTTTTTTATATTATAGTGGATTATCAGTTATAGTAAAGTGTATCAGTGTTGAAAGAGATTAGTTTGATTTGGCCTTGTTAGATAGCCAACCATAAGAGGGGTATAAAACAAGAAAATCAAATTGTAAGGTGAAACAACAAATTTATATACATATAAATCAATTAAGGTCTTTACAAATAAAATTAATGTATTCTGCTTGATACAAGGTCGTCAAAATGTTCATAGTAGTCCTTGCAAGAATAAGTTTATGTGTACGTAGGCAGGAATGTATGTGTGAATGTATGTATGTATGAGCATTATCATAGGTAGGAATGTCTTTGAAGTAATCGCTCAGTCTTAAAATGTTCTGTTCATTTATCAAGTATAAAAGAGGGAGAAAGGTAGAGATAATAATAATGATCGCTTGACATTTGTCAAGAGACGTGTTAATACACTTGTCTCCTCCTCTCTGGTGACAGGCGAACTTGCCCATCTTTTATTTTGTTTTTGTTTTGTTGAAAAGGTCATTTGGGAATCCTGGATATGATTCGGGCCTTTTCATTGAACGACAAACAAACTTTGCATTGGCTTATGAAAAGGTCCATAAAAGAATTTGTTTCTGAGAATTGAAGATTATTTGAATTTAAATGTTTTCTAGTTTTCTATTCGCCGAAAAACATTTCGCATCAAGGTGTGAAATTTCACGAGTTTTGTTTTGGATTTGCTTTTGCGTGTGTGTTAAGCAAAGTTTGTAAATTCAAGTTTTTTTAATTTCTAACAAAATCAATGAGTCAGTGCTTAGCATTTGAAATTTAAATTTAGATCTTGTTTTGTTCACTACAATATTGCTTTTTTACAGAGATATATACTGGGAGTGTCCAAATCATGTAACAGCATAATTGGCTATACCACAAAATGTTTAATATCTAAAAAAAACCCACTAAACTAATTAAGTTTCTTTTTTCTAGGTTTTCACATAAGATATTTAGCCATCTTGACACCATTTGTCATAAGAATCACTGAAAAGCCCTTTGAGTTATTCAGCTAGAAAGAGAACAGGTTAAAATCATTTTGTGTTACATACTCTGTGTTTTCAACTGAGCAATGGTGAGTGGAAAAATATCATTCAGGCTTTCAGTAATTCATACACTGGCTTCCATCTTCAAAGTCCATTCAAGAACCCTCAAGAGAGCAGAGAATAAGTTTAAAAAAGAGGGAACAGTAGAGAGGAAAACTAGATCAGGATATCACAACAGAAAGAGGGATCATCATTTCAACTGAGAGCTAAAGAGATCAATTAGAAAAGATCCAACTCAACCCATAAGGCATTTGGCATGTGAGAGAGGAGTTTCAGCTATGACAGTGAAAAAAAAGACTTGTAAATGAAATCATACATGAAACATTGTGAGGTACCTTGTTACTCCATGACAGAAAGAAGGTTAAAGGGTGAAGATCATCTTGAATAAGTTGGAAAATGATCTTATTTCAATCCTTCATGAGCTTCCGATCCTTAGCTATGATTAATTAATGATGAACATGTCATTTTCATTTATGACAAATTTCATCACATTACTTCTGTTCAACTAAGAGAGTAATTACACATTCTTATATATCAAAAACAGTTTTGAAAGTAGTCATATGAAAAGTAGAAAAAATTTTTGTGACACATTTCATCCATAAGGACTTTATCAGACTGTTTGTTTATATATAAAGGGTGTCTTTCGGCAACAATAATTCTTTACACATGATTATATTATGAAATATATTTAGTGCAATTCATGTTACATATAGATCAACATATAACATAATAAATAATATTAAGACAAATTTTATTGGATTGCATTAAACCTTTACATTAGACACAGTGCAAAAAGAGTCTCAAAAAAGACTGGAGAATTAGCTGACATTAGATAAGGTATCTTTTGCCATAGGGGACCGTATATTGAAGTGAATTTAAAAAATACAAGTAAATGTTCCAGTTTGGCCGTTTAAATGACATCGTCTCAAGTGACTTGAAATTGGTTCCATCAAATGTGTGAAGGCAAGAATTAAACAAACAACTGAATAGATATTCACATTATTTACATTATTCAGACTGTTGTCCTCATCTTTATTACCATATTCACGATGCTTTGGCTGTTGTATGTTCTGGCCTTTTCAGGTGATTGGAATGTAAATAACTACAATATCTCATCTCAGAAATATAGGCAGATGGTTGTGTAGATATACACAAAACATGATCCTTGAAAATGAATGTAGAAACATTCAAAAGTACTTGAGGGAAAATAATATAAAATGAAAATAAATACGAACTTTGGCCAATTTGATAAGACAAAATAACCAATTCGGAATTTTGAAAATTTAATAAAAAATTTGATAGAACTTGCCAATATTCAATTAAAAAATTTGCATAATATATATAATCCTATCTTTCAAGTTAAATAGCTCTAGTACTAGAGTTTAAAGATCAGAGAAAATATATTTGTTCCAGATTGTGACAATTTACTGATAATTTTCAGAGATAACACTCATAGATTAAATAAATGATTCAATTCAAAATTCCCTGATATTATTCTGATTGAGAAGAACCTAAAAAGCTGGAGGCTACAATGGCCGAAACATAATAGCAACAAAGATGAGGACAGTAGTTTGAGTGTAAATAGAAATGTACTCTTCCTCAATGTCCTGTAAGATCAAACTACAGCATTCATTTACAAGATTTGTCACCTGCAATATTGCAATGGATCATAGTTTATGATAAACCTTAATAGCTTTTGCACAGATACATATGCTAATATACTTATATGCACATGCATGCACACACAATACTATTCTCAAAAGCCATTGTTAGTGAGTTTCATATCTTCCTCAGATGTCTCATTATTGTGGTTTTTGTGCCAACCAGGTTAAACTTAGTAAAATATTCTACCTACTTACATGAACTTACTGTCAAATGTATAAAAGCTTGTAAATTATAAGTGTATTAATTGTATATGACAGAGAGGATAGGGACCTGCACTTCCTCCAGAGCTTATTGATAAATTCCTCATATCACAGAAGTGACACTTTTAGGGCCTCATCTTTCACTCAAGACCAATTGATAGCAGCAGTATCAAATTGTTTTCATGGCCCGGATATTGTGCAACACTTAGCCAGCACTTTCCATAGTGGACCTTGGGAGTGTCTGCTGTCTCCATCCCAGAGCTGTCTTCCGATGAAATTAATATTATCTTCTTGTTCAGATAATTTCCCTGGAAATTTACCAATTCTTCTGATTCTGCCGCATCACCATGGCAACAAAATTTATATTCACTTGAATATATATAGTGATGGAAATTTATTCCAATTTGAGAGTTACCATTTTTCTTGAAGGCATTGCATTAGTACTGATAATCACTTTGCCATAATCATAATAATGTTTATGCCTGGAGTCTGTTGTTAATCTCTTCAGTGCGAACCACTATGCTTTCATACATTGAGAAATGCAAACAGAAAAGCTATGAATTGTCTGCATACTTTTCTGTTAGTCAAGAACTGTTGGTTTCAATCTCTTTTACTCCCATTCATCTATTGTAAATCATTTCCAGTTTGGTAATATTTTATCTCACTTATATATCCTCAAATGCATGACTATTAAATTCTTTAATTCATTAAACTGAATATCTTTTGTGGAAAACAGCAAATTATTCAAGTTTCATCCCAGATGCTCATTAACATTTTCGTTGCTGTGGACATGCTTATATTGGCTGATGTTGACATATATGTATTCATTTCAAGAAGTACTTATTTATCTTTACAAAATTTATATTGCCTGATGTTGAGATATATATATATATATATATATATATTCATTTTCAAGATAAAATTTACATTGCTTGCTGTCTACTTATATATGTGATTTCAAGACAAGGAAAATATGTCGGTCCCTAGAATTTGTCATAAACTAACTCATGATTAGTACTATTACCAAACCACGTAGACATATAATAGTGTATATATTTTTGTTATATTATGTATTGGTTATCATTTAGATAATTATACACTGCAGAGTCAGACAGTTACATGCCATGCATAATACACGCTTAGGCGATCATGTATCTTTTGATACATGACTGACGAGGTAGATTTTTTTCCTCACAGTAAGTTGCCATTTCTTTTGTGGTAGACCAGTTGCCATCCAAGGCTATAGAACCTGGTCTGTCCTGCTATTTACTCATAACTGGTGGGAAAAGAGGATTCATACCTTTCCTAAGGGTATTATCACATAAGTGAAAGTAATGGATTCAATTAGAATTCGAACTCAACTTCCCGATTCTTCAATCCAAGCCACTATCCATTACGCCACCATGCCTTCCACTGCAGAGTATGCAATCAAAATGGCACCTCTTACGAGAAAACATTATCAGCATTTTTATAGTCATTTATTTTCAATAAATGTTCATTTTCTGTTTATCACCAGAAAAAAATTGCTGCTGTCACATCTTTTTTAAATTTTCTTGAACATGCACAAAAAATTTAATTCTTGTGAATTTTGTATAAAACATGATCATTTTTTTTAATACCTTTTTTTTTCTATACAAATGGAATATCAAAAAAATAAAGTACAAGCCTTCACTAATCAATCATGTTGGCTACAATACAAATAAAACATTGTGCAATTGCTACAAGCACTATTATAAACTGCTCCTTCTGCTTCTATGTATCATGTCCCTTCAGGATATTGGTGATCATGGCTCTCCACAATTTCCTTTCCTTTGTAGCTCTTAATAAATTTTGTTTTCTAAGCCCTCTTCCACCGTCCATTTACTGAAGCTCGCTAAGTAGATTATGCGCAGTTTTTCTCTGTCACTTTTACCTTCAATCTATCCAGTTAGTATCAAATTTTCCAAGGCTTACAGTTGCATCATGTTGAGGCACCAGTTGCCATCCGCTTACAGAAGTTAAGCAATGTTGAGCCTGTTCTGTACCTAGATGGGTGACCACTTGGGAACACCAGGTGCTGTGAGCTTGGATGGGGTCATGGATAATGACTCTGAATTGTAATCGGAGAGCAGAGTTCCAATTCCGGTTGCATTCGTTATATTCGCTTATGTGCAAATACCTTTGGGAAAGGTATGAATCCATCTCTTCCCCCAGCTATGGATTAATTAGTAGGTGTTGTATCACTATTATTGTCTCCAAAACTAAAAATTATTACAATCTAAAAATATTTTCTGACAGTTAAATAACCTGCAAATGGTTTGGTACATGGTATCCTCAGAATAGAACCACATTTCTATTGCATCAAGTCTCTTCTTCATCTATGAGGAGATTGTACAGCATCCACTGCCATGTAGGAGGACTGATATTACATAACAGTTCAGTACTCTTTTCTTTGTTTCCAACAATATTTTTTTTTTGTTTCTTAATAATTTGCTTAGATTTTGAAAGGCAACTTTCACTATCCGAATGTGCTTTAGGATTTAAGTTTTGCATTTTCATATAATCACCATCAAGATTGTTGTATTTGTCCCATTGATACACAAGCACATATGCTCTTCCAACAACATAATATCCACCTCTGCATGAACAACGTAATTTCTGTGGAATCACTTCCTGGATAAATGTTATTTAAGGGGCCAAAGCAAATGATCATCTGAAGGAGATAATTCAGGATTATGTTGTGGGCCTGCTCTTTTACCTGGTTGTCTATGTATGGGGTCATGCTGTGCAGTATATTGACAAACACTTATGCAAATATCCTGGTATTCTTCAATGAACAGCTTTTCTTAGTCTGTCCAGCATTTTACAGTATCTGATCATGTGTGGTATGAAGCCCACCAGCAGCACACCTTTTGTATCTCAGAATGCAGTTGTCATGAATTTCTTCACTGACTTCTAAGTTTTGAATTTTGTGGGAGGGATCAATGATGATGGATGCTTCCAGGTCATAGAATCAACTTTTCATCTATAGAGTAACACAATATACCTAGACCTCATCCCTCATGATTCTGTGCCCCCAGAATACCCTATCAGCTCTCTAATATCATTCTAAAAGCTGGAAAGAAATATCCAAACAATGGAACTTTGGATCTTAGCCAACTGCTTTGAGACAGAACATTGGATTTTTGCCACCGACATGCAAAATCTTACCCGTCATTGCACCTCTGTTTGTCTACTGTTTTATGGCGGCAAGCTTTTTTATTGTGATGTTACATTTGCTACCCTCAATATTAATTATGCTGTTATGGCTGTTACAAGAAGTATTGCATACTCCCTCTTGGTTTTTATTTACAGCTTTCACCAAGTTTTAACTCCATCAATTTATGCCATTCTGTGTCATACATTTTGAACATCACTAGTCCTAAATAATTCTAAATATTTTACAAGGTACTTAAACACTTTGTATGCAGTGTGTGGCCATGGTCAAATGTAAAATAAGAAACAGAACAGGTCAAAAAATAATATATAGCAAGCAAACAATATATTCAAGCCAAATCAACAGTAATATGGCAAAATGTTCACAAACTAAAAATTGGCATCAACACACAAAAGCAAGTTCAGACGAGAACATAGCGTTCTGACTGAGACAAGACTGGGACTGTCAGATGAAACTGAGAACCTGCCTATTTTATTGACTAGGAAAAAAATCCCAGCATGCATTTTTGTGTTTCTGCCTATAAAATGGGGAAGGGAAAAATATTTTGAAGTCATTCACATGGGGGATTGAAACCAACACTTTGTTACAGTGATATTGTTCTTAATTATTAGTATTATTATTTACAATTCATAAGTACCTTTTGATTTCAAGGTGTGCTTAAATTAAAAGAAAAAAACATAGAAGTAATTTTCATTCTTTAAATTATTTACACCTGCATTATTGTCCTTGTCTTTGATGTTATTATCACAAGGTTTTGCCAGTTGTGTCTACCAGTCTTCTTTAGATACCTGTTGATCTGGGTAAGTTTCTGTTAGTTTGGCACTGGACCCTTTATTTAATCTCCAAGGGTAGATTGCTCTCCTTCTATTGTTCATCTCTAGGTATACTTCATTTTGTACTTTGTTAGTATTGCTCAATTGATGCTCACCCTGATTACTAAGAGTCGTAGTTTGTACTACCCAGCACAGAGATTCAACTAATAATTAATTTGTCACAAAATTCATAAGCCAGCACATTAATCCATCAGGTTATTGTACCATCAGTGGCACAAGAAAAATTTACCCCAGCAGAGTGTTATATAAAAGGTTTAGTTCCCATTTCCTGAAGGTTACCAAAATTGTGAGACACCTGAAGAAAGCTGAAAAGCACAACAGCCAAAACATTGTGATAATGGCAAGAAAGATGCGAACATTAGCTTGAATGTAAATAACTCCTCGCTGCAGAAATTCAGACAGAAATAATCACACACATAAAAGTGCTAGACATTTGTAGAGTTGTCACTTTGTACATAAGCAGTGTTTTCATTCATTTTCGTTTCTTTCTTTACTTTAAAAGCAATTCAAAACCTTCAAATAGTGAAGGTTTTGAACTTTTTGTTTTCATGTGGGTTGGTGGGAGGCTGTAGTAAAAAAAAAAAAATAAAGGTATAAAGCAAAGAAGCCAATACAGAAAACATTGCCAAAAAAAAAAAAAAAAAAAAGCAGCCGACATTGAAACATAGTGAAACTAAGAGTTGTAATACAATAAGTAATTGTATAAATCCAATTACTAAGACTGAGATGAAAAACGGTTCTAATCAAAGTAGTTACTATTCACAAAGTTTGGCTTTATGAACAATCTGAATTTAGAAACTTGTTGGTATTATTAGTAATGAACAGCCTTTTTAGATTTTAGCAATTCACTATGATATCCCTACTGATTACATTGGTAAAATTAATTAAATTTATACTTAGCTCTTTATTTTGTATGTATATCTAGCTTGAGGCTAAATATATTGATTTAAATCCTTTTATACAAAGGGCAAACATAAGCATTCAAGTAAGACTGATGAATTGGTTAGGACTTAACAGCTTTCAATGTTAGCCATCTGCAACAACAATGCTTACATTGAGTAATCTTTATGCAAATTTAAATTAAAATATTCCAAAACCAATGCTGTTTTACACACAATGACTGAAGATGGTTTGAAGATGCATTGTTGAAAATATTGTGACTTAAAACACAAAGTATGTGTGTAAGTGTTGGAAATAAAGAGATGTTTTAGATGAGAAAGATTATAACGTTTCATACATCAAGTGTTCTTTTTACTGCCATGAATTCATTTCACTTAAATATCTGGCGTCAAATCTGAAAGTAGTGAGTCATGATTACAACAAAAAGATATCTTTTAAGCCTGACATGATTTTAAGTTTGTTTGTTTTGGCAGGGAGGGGGTCTTGCTTTCTTCTCTTTTTTTTTTTTTTTTTTTTTTTTTGGCTTTTACTGTTTGAATTGATCTGCAATTTCTTTTCTTTTTTTTTTTTTTTTTTTTTTTAAATGCAAGTTGTAAGACAGTCAAGGGAAATCTCTCAATTATTTCTCCGTGAATGATGACTTAATTTTCTTGGAGCTGATTTTATGGCTTTTCTTGAAGTCTTCACGCTTTTAAGCTTCTCCTAATATATATATTTTTTTCTTTCTCTGCAATTATTTATTTCAACTGCTGCTGTTATCTGTTTGTTCCTTTTATTTTCTGTTTTAAAATACCGGCCAACTATTGGCATTGCTTTTTATACTTTTGTCATTTATCGTTTTCTCATTCACTTTGCATTTTGTGGCTTTTTTGGTTTATACATAAATTTTGTATCTTTTTTTTTTTTTTTTATTAAAAAATTTCTTTTTTTTCTTTCATGGTCTTCATGTGAATAATGCAGGTCAAAATGCATCAGTATGTTCAGTTTATACGAGGTGGCAAAAGGATAATTATGTTTGCAAAAAAATCCTTCACTTTGCTTTCTCGATCTTTTGTATAGTTCCACTTCATCTTCCCACTGATTGCTGTGTGTTACTTATTGTCCCTGGAATTCCAGTAGAAATCCTATTCAAAATCTTTGAAATTTGTATATATAAACCTCTTACACCTTTTTTTGTTCTCTCTCCTATAAGGTTCTATCAATAAGTCTGCAGTTTGACATGGTTATTAGCTAAATTTCAATCAGGAATTTTCACTTTATAATGTCCAGTCTATGTGATTAATGGAGAAGTGTTAAGTGCATTGACAAAAATGAGTTTTTGTTGAAAGACAAGTATTTGTTGTGTAAAATAAATGGTTTTTGCATCAGGAAGCTACAAACTTAGTGATGCGTTTATATATTAGTTCTTTTTCTATTTCTTTTTTTCTTTTCATCTGTCTTTTCATTCCCTTTTTGTGTATATGAAATAATATCTGCCTTACTAAAGTTCATATATTTATACATGCAACAAAAGAATAATCTTCTTTGTTCAAAAATGGCAATCAGTAAAATTTACTTGTGCAGTTGTTTTTCATTCTCTTCTTTTACACTTTTATTCTCTTTGAGATCATAGTCATGACTACAAAATCACATTCATCAAAACTGATATGATTTTTTAAAAATATAATTACATAATATTTTACATAATGTTATATAATGGTATTTTTTTTTCTTCTTGATCTTACCAGTTTTTAAATAATATTTGTTAAAAAGTCAGCTTGCTTTCCCATGTCTCTTACTGTTAAATTATTTTCTTCTCATTCTGTAAGTGCTGCCGATATTGTCAAAGAGAAAGTTTAATCGTTTTGGTAGTTCTTTGCTGACAGCGATAAACAGTGTTTATTCTTTAGAGAAATGTGGAGAACTTTTCAGATAACCTGCTTCCCAAATAATTTTTTGTCACCAAAACTCATATGCTTTTTCTTTGTCTCCAATGCATATATCATATTGACAAATAGGACAAGATAATTAATAACCTGTACTACCTTTTAGATTTAATCTTTAAAGGACAGCATTTGTGAATGATTTCAAGAGAAAACAACAGACTATGAATTTCTTAGGTGAAGCTTTGGGATTATTGTTAAAATTGATGTC